TTCAACAGTTTTAAAAGAGGGGAAAAACAAGGGTCCAGCACTGGACAGCGCTGTTCTTTCCTTAATAGGAATATAAACATTAACTCCAGGAACCATGGAGCTCAGCAGAGACCCCGCAGGATAGCATAAGAAGCAAGCACACACACAAGACATGTGCTTTCTCAACTGAATCTTTACCATGTACTGAAGAAATGTGAGATGCTCTCTATACTAGAGGCCCTGTTGATATAGCTGTGACAGCTGTGACCTCATGGAGATGAGCATAAGTTGAAGGAAAGAGGCTTTTCTTCTGTGGTACTTTGCACCACCCTGAAGAACAACAGTAGCTAAGCTGTCAAAATATGCTCCTCTGCATCTGTGTGTGTGGGAGGGGGCAGTGGTGGTGGTGGGGCAGTAGTGTGCTTGTGTAAACTGCAGGTTGTGAACCTTTTATTTTCCTTCTCTCTCCTGGCTAGCACGACTATAATGACAAAGCTTTAGTGTAGCCCAGGCCTGGGAGTTAGTGTTGGTTAACTTATATGAGCAGAGATGTGTAAAAATTGTGCTTAACACTTGTCTCCTGGCTGTGGCCAAACTTTTGGTTTCATGAAGTTGGACCCATGATCAGTTGCTACATTAAAGCTAGCTGTCTAAAGTAATAACTAAAGTATTAAATTCTCCTTGAGGTCATGTTGTAACACTAGTACCTATCTTTCTGTGAACATGAGTTTCAATGGCTTTCAATTAAGATATAAAGAGAACTTTGTTTAATATTATACTCTACTGATCTGATGTTACTCTAAACCAGGCTAAAGATATTGGCAGGTCTTGGGGAAGAGGCAGAAACATAGAAAGGCTTTCGCATATCAGGGCTTTGTAGGAAAAACCTTGTGCTATAACACCATTTTTATTGTACATATTCACTTTTTGAAAGAAAAACATTCTTGTCCATAGATTAAAACTGATAATTAGTAAGAATAGAGAATAAAGCAAGTAATATAATCTTTGGAGTGATTTTATTTAATGAGTTCATTTCTTGTTCTTACAAGGCATTATTTTGAACCGCTGTTAGAAAGAAGCATCTAAAAATGTAAGTGGTTGTGTGTTGGGTGGGGGTGGGGAGGTTATGCATCGTGTTGCTTCCATTGTTTAAGAAATGCTAATTAAAGTTGTTGGCCAGAGACCTGATTTGTGTATCAAAAGTCCTCTTACAACTCTTAAAACCGTAGCCAACCTGACTTTCATCTTCAATCTAAAGACTCTCTAGATGTGTGACACTAATAAGGAGCATCTTTTAGCTTTTACTGAGATAAAGCTGCAGGGCACTAAGTCAGACAGGCAATTAAAATTGTGCAGAGACCAAATATTCATCCAGTTCAGTAGACGCTAGTTACATTTCAATACAGACCTTTTTTCTGACCCAGCTTTCCCACACATCTATTTTTTTTTCTGTAGACTGTTTCCTAGCTGCTGAAATGCTTCATTTTCACTGTAAGCCATTTGTTCTTGCAATGTAAAGACAAAAGATCACTTATGGACAAAAGCACTCGTACTTATGACCTTACTGGCCTAGCAGTGGGTTTCAGATTGCTAAACAAGAAGTGTTGCAAAGTATTAACTACTTTAGTTCTGATTCATTAGACTTTTTTCTTTTTATAAATATTTGGAGCAATAGCTACAAAAGTTATCATATATCAATTCTAGTTTTAAATAACTAACTCTGACTTTTCTTGAATTTTCTGTGCTTATCACCTGCATAGTGATTTTAATTAAAAAAAAAAAAAAAAAAAAAAAAAAAAAAA